ACTGCCATGTGATTGGTTGATTAGATAATTGCATTAATGAGAAATTGAACAGGTGTTCCTAATAATCCTTTAGGTGAGTGTAGTACAAGTCAAACGCATTTCACAATTAAAACAAGTTTCTTATTATTATATTATTGTTACCTGATAGTCTCAAGAATACTCTACATCCTTTCCAGACATGGAAGACACTCTGATTTGAATTTATAACATTTATTTTGCCAACCAAACATGTTTGAACTTAGAAGTACACACAAATTTAAATTAAATAAATAAATAAATAAATAAAATAATGTCCATCTTCTTGCGTGGGACTTGCTTCACTGAAGCTGTTTCTGGAATCTAGCACAGGAATAGATACAATGTCAGGACAGATTAATATTTTAGCCATACTACTAATCTCCTTACCATATTATGGGCATAAATTAATGTCCGTATTTCACCGAAAAGCTGGTGTCCAGCCAAATGCTTGGTCTGTCATCTGAAGCCCTGGTGATTATTGCGCATGTGCGATATAATATCGATATAATATCGCCCAGCCCTAATTAGCAGGTATTTACATGAGCTGTAGCCAGAGCATATACCTCTACGTGGATGGTAACTAGCCTGGCAAGCCAGACCCATGCACGATGTTCCGAAAAACACTCTTTCAATGTTTCAAACACTACCCCTTTAGACATATATCTAGTCACACAGTAATGAAAGCTTGAAAGTTTAGATCGCCAGGATTCAAGACAACTGAGCTGTCGTTCTGTTTGCTATTTAGCTTTAGCTTGCTAAAATGCCTGCATAACTTCAAAATGTTCCCTTTACCCACATGTTCTTATCAGACATCTTATCAGAAAGGATGTTTTGTACAGATCGCCATGAGTCCATGCTTATCAAATATAATTTTCTCCAAAACGTCTAAAGCTAGCAGGCTAACATCTATTACTAACGATAACATGTTAACCACAGTTGGCATGAGCTTTCTAAAATAGAAAGTAACGTTACGTTAATGTCTTTACTTACCTCAATGTCATTATGGAATGCCTTGAGATGTCTTTTAAGGTTTGTGGTGTTTTTTCCCGATATTTTGTGGCCGCATTTCTCCGCCATCTGTGCGCCCGAATGGGAGACACAGGAAACGGAAATACTGCATAATAATAATAACGCGATTAAACGAGAGGAAATAACGTCTCGTCTCGTTTTTGTCAACGAAAATTAAGAGACATTTTAGTATAGTTTTTATTTTGTAAACCACGTTTGGTCTCGTTTTTATTCGTCAACAATATTACATGATATATTTCGTTATAGTTGTCGTCACATGACCAGCATTTACGTTGCGTCTCATCTCCATCATGTCAAAAAGGTTCGTTGACGAAGATATTTTGTCAAAAATTTAATTGACGAAAACAACACTAATGTGTGTGTGTGTATGTGGGCGCATGCCTTAAACTTCATCTCCCCTGCAGGCGAGCTCTGAGCAGAACCAGCTGCGGGATGTTCTGGCCCAGTCCGATCACATGATGGCGATGGTGAAGGATTTATTTGGGGATGCTCCTCACAGGCAGACTGGTACCCTTCAATCCTGGTGCTTTGGATTCCCACCCCTCCGGTTCTGCTCTGACCCCATCCCCTACTGGCTCTCAGGGTTCCCAAGTGTGACCATGGCACTGGACCGCGAGCCTGTCTCCAAGCCGGTGCTGTTACTGGATCCGTCAGGAGCAGGAGTCCATGGACTGGAGCCACTGTCCCGTGATGTGGCTGTGAGCAGGTCTGTCTGCCCACCAAGCCTCCCTGACACCCACTAGATGCCCCGACAGGGCACTGCGGGGGGAATGTGTAACGCTAGCCGCATTCACATGGTTGTATTGAGCCTCCAGGCCTCATGTTGCCTTCTGACCTGTGTCTGCGGACTCCTGCAGGTGTCCTGTCCAAGATCGGTGTCATGGACGACCTCTCAGTCCTAATGCCCCGGATGTGCCTCTCCGCTGCCCCCAGAGCCCCTCTGTGCCCCAGTGTGGTATGTGCCCTCCCTCAGTGTTTACATTCTGTACTGTTTTCCCAGCTGAGCCCTGCCTCACCCCCCCTATCTGCAGCCCTCAATGCCACCCCTGTGGTCCAGAAGCTGCTGCCGCATGTTCCCCTGGACAAGGATGACCCCCCTGCTGCCCTGATGTCACATGTATTGAATGTGGGGCCTGTTTTTCCAAAGCCAGGTAATTGCTGCTCCTTGCCAGTTAACAGCCAGGCCTGTCCACCAGCAAAAGCCACCAGCTGGTATGTTCCTGTGCAGGGAAGAGGATCAGCAGGGGGCAGTGTGCCAACTTCTCCAGGCTGAGCAGCTCAGACTTGCACTCCTCAAGTGGAGGCTGCTCCAGTCTGGAGGTGCTGCAGGCCAAGTTGATGAAGATGGGACTGCAGCTGGACTCCTTGGGCCCTAATGCTGCTCCACAGGCTTCTGAGGACCAGCAAGGGGATGCCACCCTCAGTGGATTCTCCACAGCGCTGGTGGCCATCTTGGGCCGCCTAGTCCAACACCTCTGCAGGGTACAGACTGTGTGCGTCTGTGTGTGTAAACACTCACAGAGAAGGGGGTCTTCCCTGTCAGTGACAGCGATGTACCCCCATGCCCAGAGCCATGAGGAGGTGCAGAAGGAGGTTACAGTGAGGAGGCATCTAGAAGAGCAGCTCAGAGAGCAACAGCAGCTGATTGATGCTCTCACTGCAGAATCTCTCCTGCTTCATCAGGACAACACTGATCTGCAGGTAGGTCTGGGGACTGTAACTCCCCTCTTGTTACCAGGTATCTGCACAGCACTGACCAGTCTGATGCTCTGTCTGATTACAGAAGCATGTGAAAGATCTGGACAAGCGGCTGGATGCACTGCTGCTGGCACTGGGAGAACTGGGTGGACTGGGGCCTGAAGCTGAGCCCAGAGCTTGTCTCCATGGCTGTGAAGACACCTGCACAGATGCGCACAGATTGCAGTTGAGCAGTGCTGTGTCTCCTGAGAAGGACCTGGGAGAGGTGCCATCTCCCTTCCCAGCAGTGCTGCTTTCGCCCCCCCGCCAGACTGACAGCTGCCCCTCCCAAACTGAAGGCAAGAGCTACAGCCTGCTTTGGGGGGGGGGGGGGGAGTTTCTCAGTGCAGTTCAGCTGTTAACCTGGCACCCCCTACAGGGTAGCTGTTGATTCGAAGCAGCTGCTCTGCTAAATGGCAGCGTTCTCCTGCTTTGCTTTTCATTTTAGTGGCAAGAGGTGAGCTGCTGCAGTACCAGGCCACATCCAGTGGGGGGCATGAGGAGGTAGTGGAATATGATGAGTCCACAGCTTCCAGCTGCTCATTCATGAGCTTGCCTTGCCATGGCTTCACCCATAGCTCCACCTCCAAGCTGGACCCGGCACCCCTGCAGCTCAGGCAGGCGTCACAGAAGAATCCGCTGATCTCAGCCCCAAGTGTGGCTGGTAGGACTGCACAGCGCCCAGCACAGGTCTGATATGTTCTGTCAGTCAGTCAGCTGGGAACCTTTCAATGGGGAGACGTGTCACCGTTGGCCTCTGTTAATGTGCATCTTACCAAAAGGAGGGACACTCTGTGGAACAGCAGCTCCTGGAGTTGAATAGGCGCAGTGTGGAGGCACGAAGCAGACTGCTCTCACTCATTGAGGAACAGAGGCAGGCCATCGGGGGTGGGGTTTCTCCCTGCATCTCTCCCATCCCCTCTGCGAGGCCCCCTGGGGTGTCCACCTTGCTGCCTGTGTGTGAAGCAGAGCCCTAGGTGTGTGGCCCATTCAGAGACTGTCAGCACCGGGGGCAGGGCTGGACATTTTTTGCTGTTGTGTTGGATAGAGTACTGGCTGGCTTTCAGATTCACAGCAGGGTGCTCTGGCTGGGAGAATCACTGGATTATTAACCCAGTGGTAGCTGTGTTGGGGTGGGCGCAGGGTGCTGTTGATGGTGACCTTCTTCCCCTCTACAGGCTCTCCAGGAGGATGGGGCAGGCTGGGTCACCAGGCAATGCCACGCTGTAGAGGACGACCCTGCTGGTTTGATGACCCCAGGACCATGTTCATAGCATTTACTGTGAAGTCATAATTAAATGTTTTATTGGCAAATGTGAGTTCTGTTCTCTGTAGCTGAACACGTGCCGCACCAAGATATGTCCGTGCAGCCACCAACCATGCTGGTTCTCGGCTGTTGCACGTCTCTTTTTACAGTCCTGTCGTCCTCCCAAGCATTAATTCAAATGTTTCTCAAACTTTATTGAACATGCAGCAAGCCATTTAAAATACTGAGGATGAAATTTCTTCATACATTTTAAAGATGTAAAAATAATGCCATGATTCTTTGAGGATACAACATAAAGGTTTTTCTTTCCAAAATATAACTAAAAACTCTATATTCAATTAGAAGTTAAAAATATTTACAATAACTCAAACATTTTGTAGCGCACGTGTGCAGTATGTGACCACAGAAGCAGGAACAGTTGTATGTCTTATGTGTCAACAGGTCCAGGTCTTTAGGGATCTTGCCCTTGGGGTGGTTGTGAGGGACACTGCAGGTCCGACAGCTTTGGATGCCTAATGTGTGAGGAGATGTGCACTCCTCAAGAGATGTGAATCTATCACCATTCGCATTTTATTGTGGGTAAAGCGGCCAATACCATCCTGTAAAGCCGCTTTATTGCAAACTAAAATGTAACATGATCTTAGACTCACTGAGGCAGCCTGAACAGTGGCAGGGGGCTCACAGCACCTCACAGTCACTCTTGGCCATGGCTGAGATCCAGCTGCGTTTATAAACAAATGTGACGTCACACCGTGGCCCCAGGCTTCTAAGCAGGAAGCAGACACCAGCCTCCTCAAGCTGGGCAGAGCTATTGCCAGCCAATGGGAGCAGCTTCAGCTCTGTCTCCCTCACCCAGACAAACCCCTCCCCCTCCCATAGCACCTGCCCCCCCAGTTGCCGCAGCTCCACCAAATCGCTGCCCCCCAGGCCCAAGACACGGATACAGCGTGGCTCGGCTGCCTGGAACCGCTGCCCGTCCTGGTAACCATGGCAGCAGAGGCACACCAGTGCCAGCGTGGCATCCGAGAAGCAGAAACGAAACGTCTCCTCCAGCCCATCATCGATGGCGACGGGTCCAGAAATGCTGCGTGCCCAGCAGAGGTGGGCCCCGCCCTTCGGCAGCCACAGTGCCAGCGGGTGAAGCAGGAAGCCATGGTGCTCGGCCGGCAGCAGGTAGCGCTTTAGTGCTCGCACTGTGTCCTTGTGCAGAGGCAGCAAGCTGGGCAGCTCCAGTGCCGCTGGGTCAAACTCTAGCAGTGCAAGAAGCCTTTGCCTCATGCCAGCGTCAAAGGCGTCAGACCCGAAGGCAGGCTGGCTCAGGGCATGCCGCACTGCCTCAGAGGGCAGGGCCAGATCTGGTGGGGGGGTGATACCCTGTGTCGTGGGACACACCCGCTCCAGCAGCCGCGTCACAGCCTGGCACATGGTGTGGTACTGCAACGCCAGTGATGGAGATGGCAGCGGCAGGCCGACCAGCGCACGGGTGATGGCTCTGTGGGGCACGCCAGAGAAGCGTGTGACTCTGCGCAGCATGCGTGGCCTGCAGGTAACTGCCATTCCTTGGGGGTGGGAAGGACCGAGCAGCTGTAGGCTGTCCCGCCGGGGGTACAGGTCCCGCAACAGCTGGGCCAGCACCGGCACGGCCTGCAGGAGCCCCCTGGCTCTGCACTCACCATCCCAGCACTCCTCCAGCTCTGCCAGCAGCTCAGCCTCCGCCCGACCTCCAGCCACACCCCGTAGCCGCTGCACCACCCCCAGAAGCCCTTCCCATGGCTCCGCCCACTGCCACACCCATGGCTCCTCCACCATCTCTGCCAGCATGTCCCACATCAGAATGGTGAAGATGTGCTCTGCCCTGACGTGGGTGTGGCTGCCCTGCAGGAGGCGCTCCGCTTCTCCCAGCAGCTCTAGCAGCAGGGTCCCTCTCCCGGAGAGCTGTATACCTGCCAAGCAGCAGAAAGAGCACATTCATTCTGAAAATGGTGTGCAGAAATTTGTTACGGTTTCCGGGTTGAACGATGTTTCCCCGAAGCAGTGTGCAATGATGTGCAACAGACTTAGCTAGAGGTACATTTTCTCTTTTGGGTGGGTGCTACTCAGTCAGCAGCAATATCTATATAAGCCAGTCCTAGCCAGTTACAATGCTTGCAAAACATAACAGGGTGTTCACCGCACCACTGTTTCCATTTAATCAAGGTTGGGCAACCCTGATCCTGGTATTCAGCAGGTTCTCCATCTTACCTGGATCTCAGGCAGATAGTAATAATCAGGTAGAATAGAAAACTTGCTGGACACCAGCACTCCAGGGTAGGACTGCCTAACCCCAGTTTAAAAAAACGATTTGCAGCTTTTCATCAGGGCTAAACGTAGCATAGGTTTAGCTGGCTGGAAGCTGCCAGAAAAAGCTGGTCTGAGGGGGGCTGGGAGGGGGTCCACACAGAAACTCCTAGGGAGAGGAAGGAGGAGCCAGTAATGCCAGCCCCTGTGCATCTGGCACTAGTCAGAGCAGAGTGTTGTGCAATACTCCTCCACACGTACCCTGTGTGTCACACTGCTGCAGTCTCTGAAGCAGCCGCTCCACGTCCTGCGTCTTTTCCAGGAAGAGCTCCACCAGTGCCGCCAGCTGGGCCACGTCGTCTATGGCCGCCTTCTCCAGGAGGCGATCTCGCACATCCGCCCGGCGCAGCCCCAGCAGCACGCCCAGCTCGCACATGTTGAACTGTGGTGCGGCCTCTGTGGCCACGCCCAGCAACGCCATGGCCTCCTGCAGCACATCTGTGACACATCGACATGTGATCATGGTCATGCCTCGAGCTAGTCAGACAAACCCCCATGATAACTTCACCCACCTTTTCGTTCACTGGCTAAATGTGTGGCTTCCCAGGTCCCCAGACGGTCAGATGTCAGACTACGTGGCATGTCCTGTGTCCATGTGTCTCCAGTAGGCCAATCCGTCATGGCAGCGGCTCCGCTCTCCACCACAGCCACAGAGAAATGGCCAGCGGGTGTCTCACAGCATGGGGATGACCCCCAGCCCTGCAGCTCAGCGCCCAGCTGCGGGTCCTCCTGGCACAGTGCCTTGTACAAGGCAGCACAGGCCCGCTCGCCCTTCGACAGGCAGCTGAGCAGCAGCCGTTGGCTCTGCTGGTACGGGGTGGGCTCAGCTTGCTGCGAGTCCAGCTCCAGCTGTGTCAGGATCCCACTGGAGAAGAGCTGAAGCGACACAGGCAGCACAGACACCCCCAGGCGCTTACACAGCACCCCCAACTGCGTCCGCAGCCTGCACACTGAAAAACACAGGCACACTCACTCACACTGACTTATGGTGCAGATGGCCTGACGTGGACACTGCTTCCTAACCAGTTTGCTCACCTGAGGGTCCACACTGGAAGTCTGCAGTAAACAGGAGACAGAAAAGCACATGACCCCATTATATGCAGAGGGCACCCCCACGTGTGCAGGAAGGTGAATTGCACAGAAATCTGCTCCTATGGCAAGGGTACCCAATCTTATCCGCAAAGGGCCAGTGTGTATGCAAGTTTTTGGAATAACCTGTAGGTCAGCTGTTCAAACCCAGGTGTGAAGACTCTTTCAGCCAATCAGTCCTCTAATTAGTAATCTAATTAGGTAGTTGCAGCGAAAACCCGCATACACACCGGCCCTTTGCGGATAAGAATGGGTACCCCTGTCCTATGGCAACACTGCCCCCTACTGTATGTCTGAGCGTATAACACGGTATAACAGAGATGCAGATGCAATCCAAGGAGAACGAGTGGCTCACTGACGCGGGTCAAGTACAGAGGCGCTCACCTTCCAGTCCGCCTTGTAGATCTGCAGTAGAGACAGGAGAGAGACAGACCATGAATACCACGTGAGCAGACCCTGCCCCCCCCCCCAGCAATGGCAGTGCATTGTTACCTGTGCAGCCATGCAGCCAGGCGCGCAGGCGGGGGTAGTTGCTCTGACACGCCTTCAGGCAATCCAAGAACTCCCCAGCCTGCTCATCATCCATTTGGGCCTGTACCACCTCCAGGAGGCGCCGTGCACGGTCGGCGGCTGTGCGCTCCGCCTGCACCATCTGGTAGCTGTCGCGGGGCAGCAGGTTCTTGGCCAGCATGCGGTCCAGCAGCGGTGCCATGTTGTACAGCGCGTCCACCAGCAGCTCCTGGGCCGCCTGCAGGTGTGCCTTCACCTTGGTTGCTTGCAGGGGTGGCGCTGCGGAGTTGAAATATCGATTCTTTCCATCTGTTTATTTTTTAATATTATTATTTATTGTTTATTATTATTATTAATAATAATAATAATAATATCTGAACGGTTTCATTTTTGCAAATCAATTGTAACACAAAAGTATAGATTTTTATTTGGTAATTTACATGTTCATATTATTACAGGGAGCAACACATTAAACTACTACTGGGCAGGGCCCCCATATGTAGGTATGTCACTATCACCAGCTCTGCGCCATAGGGGCTTTGGCAGGCAGCCTCGTTTTCAATTTGGTCGCCATTCCCCAGAGCACCAGGGTATCCCAATAGTTTTTGCCTTTTTGTTGTGTTAT